TCTTCGGTAGCGAATCCGCTCTCATAAATTGGATGAATTCTTCTGGGTCGGCTTCGGGATCCGCCTCTGACAGTTGGCAAAAGTACCTCAACTTATCGGAGGAAAATGCCGCGTCTGAACCTTCCACAAGCCACACCCCGCCGAACCCTGAACCTGAAGCACCATCCATTTCGTTCTTGCGAGAACGAATCAAAAATGTTATTCGCTCATGCCAGCGTATAACTACCACTGACTTGATTCTCTTGGTGCACTGCTGGAGTGGATGTCAAACCGGCACTAGTGGGGGACTCCTATGAATTGTTTGGTTTGTTATCTCTTTGTGAGCTTTGGATCAATGACTAGATTCCCGCTATTATAAGTTCGAAGAACTTGCAGCTGATCGATTGCAAGCTTGTCTAGCTTTTCCTCTTCCCCACCTAAACGAATGAAATGGATGCTCTGACTCCCGCACTCGGGAAAAGGGGAGCTACTTAAACTGACAACTCAATGCTATCTTTTAGATTAGGCCTGGAAAACTCTTAGCTACTTTTAGGTTGGGATCCAGTGAGAGAAGATTGAGCTACGCCCTATACTACGTTACTTCCGGATTCACTTATGGGTGTACTGCTAAACTTTCAAGCTCGGAGTTATGGATGTACTTCTAAACAGCCAAGGTCGGAGCTTTTTTCAATAAGAGTTGAAAGCAAATCGGTAATATAAATGCTATTACTTAATTAACCATTTTTGATGCAACACATGAAACAAAGAAGTAGTAGTTATCAATGAATGCTTTGACATGAGAATCCCATACCCTTTTGTTCCTTTGCATTGAAGGATCTTTGTTCGGCTAGTGAATTGAAAACTCCTCGCAGTACTTCTTCGCTTATCCAATGGTGGGTCGATAGTAGGAGATATGGGTGGTAGTCCAAAGATTGGATATGGAATGGGTTTCGAGGATTTCCAAGAGCAGATTGAAATCTGTGTTATGGTTTTAGGGTTTGTCAACCAAGTGCAGGAAGATGGAAATATAAATGATATCGGTGAAGATGGAGCAACTAGCACAAGTGCCTCCAATTGCACATCAGGAGAAGATGTCACTACAGATCATGCAACCTCAAGAGGGAGCAACCTGTCCGTCCTATTTAAAAGACTTTGGATTTTTTCTCCGTTCACTTACAATAAATAATATATTTTTTGGTCGATCTGAAAACCTTATTCAGAGTTCACTTCATTCGGAAGTAAGTCAACTTCTTCACTGGGATGCCAAAGGACAGGAGACATTCATTCACAAGTAGGGTTTCGGACAATTAATTCATTCAATCCTTAAGTTCAATGCGGAAAGCACATCCTCTCTTATAGAACCAAAGAACTTGCTTTGCTATAGGACTCTCAACCCTCTTCTACAGCGCTTCCCTCTCCGACGAAGAGCCCAGCCAACATCAAGATTCGTTGAAACGTACCTTTATGCAAACCTCTGAGCAACCATTGCCCATTGGATGGACTCGAACCGTTCATTCTCGCGCGGATACTCTATACTATGGATGTGTTTGGCTTTGACTCGTCAAAACCCTTCTCAATAAGCTCAACCACTGATTTGGAATCGACTTAAAGAATGATCTTCCTCCCTTTTTTATTAGTATTTCCTCCACGCATATCAGATAGATTTCTTCTCGTGGACTAGCTTCCTTTTCTACGTTGTGATTCTTAGGGATCTTTTTTCTCTGAACCAACCAGGGCACCCAAGCGTTCAAACGTTACCCCCTCTTTCGACTTTCTTCTTTTTGAACCCTCAAAACACGAAGAATGTAAAGCCTACATCACCGCAGATGAGGATCGGGAACCAAACTTCTAGGTGGTCAAGCTAGCGTATCAGTCAATGTTGTAGGCGGTTCTCATGCCAAAGGGGAAGATCTCGCTCAGCCAAGTGCACAACCTGAGTAAGTACACTTATCGAGGAGTGATAGGGCAGCAGAGTTTGAGGCAAAAAAAAGATTTGGGTGGCTATGGGTGATATGGGGAATCTAACAATTAATTGACAATGATTTCACCGTGGTGTGCATTGGTAGCTTCAAGATGAAGGCATTTTCCATATGTAAGCCACAATTTCAGTATCTTATTCTTCTGAACCAGGAAAAGCGTTCTGGTAAGGAGTATGAAAGAAGAGTACGAAAATGGAAGTCAAAAGTGGTAGATCCAGGACATGCCAATTTCTTTCTCATCTTTCGCATCGCCGCGCATGGTTTTCTCAAGATCGTATTTAATTAAAGAAGAATGGAGATTGAGAAGAAGATAAAATGAACTTAAGTCCTCGTCTCAAGAGAGGGACGAGTCGAAATTTGTTCTGGACTTGTGCACGTAAAAAGGCTTTCACGTTTGTAAAGAGAAGAAATGGGTAGAGCAAAAAAAGAACATAGAAAAAGAATAGGCCTGATTTGATTCGTCTGCTCATGGGATTGCCGATACTGCTACCCGGCTACACTGAAAGAGGGAAGCGAATAGCCTGAAGATTCTTTCCTTTGTTGTCTCACTATCAGAGCTTGCAAGAGAGACCAAAAATACTCTCTTCGGTGACTTAGACTTACTCATTTTGGCGATGTCTGGCACCCGCGCAGGAAGGGTTGAATTGTCTGAATTTCACTCTGTGAGATAATGGATCTAACGTTAGGGCTTAGTTACTCAATCTCTCTAGCCGGAACTACTTGAACCCGAGTAATTAGCTTCCTTAAGCCATGTCCATGTCCATATTTATGGAGCTAAATCGGATGGTAACTAGATTCATTCCGTAGCATGGGATTCTGTAAGAGCATCTCTAAATAATAGCTACGCATCAGTTTGAGTTCGAGATTGAAAAGTCCTCTCAAGTTGACTATTTTTGGATAAATGGGTCCTGTCAAACTGTTGTGACTGGCATCAAAATACGAAAGGCTTGTTAGATTACCAATACTATGTTAGCATTATCAAGACTGCAATCTATCACAATTTTGAGATGCTCTATAATTATAGATACCAAGAAAACATGATTATCTGTAAATTGAGGACTTGGTCCAGAAGTGAGAAAATAGGTGTGAAATTCCAGGCTAGGGTTAGCAAGGAATTGTTTGGGCTGATTGAGGATATAGAGCTGATGAAGCTACCTTTGCAAGGGCGCAAATTCACTTGGAACAATGCTGTGTCAGCTGCTAAGTTATACAGATTCCTTTTTACAATAGACTGGGATTAAATGTTGTATACCCATGCTGTGGCGACAGCCCTTCCTAGATATGGTTCAGACCATGTTCCTTTGTTGCTGGAGTGTGAGACTGAACTGTTCAAAGGGTTTTTCAAGTTTGAAAGATCATGGTTTCAACAAGAAGACTTTATTTAGAGGATGGAGGTGGCATGCACTGTTGTTAAAAGGAGAATTGGGGAAGCCTTTTGAGTACATTTACAACAGATGAGAAAGTGTTTTAGGGGTGGAGTGCAAATGTGAATAGAGAGATTAGGAGAACAAAGGAAGAATTGTTGACTAGTCTGGATAAGTTGGAGCGGAAACGGACGTGGCCAAAACATATAAAAAAAGATCGGCCTAGTCGCTCATAGGGACATATCTATCCGGATAGAGGATAGTCTAGATCAATTTTTAGAAAAATCTCTCTCTATATAGAATAGATAGGTATCTCTGTGGATAGAGATAAAGATAGGGATCCCTATAAATCGAAATATATGGAAAAAGTGCACTTTTTTACTACTACTATTTCTTAGACTTTTTCAAGGAAACATCGTTTTTTCGATTTTTACTGAATTGGTCGGAGCGTAGACGAGCGAGCAGAGCCTAGGAAAGAGGTCAGATCGTCATAGAGCAGTCGACTATAAGTATAAGACTGCTGGCCTAAGAGTAGGCAGTCTCTCTCGGGAAACATGGTCCAATTTCTCTTCTTTCTTTTCACACGGGCAACAATTGGGAATAAAACAGACCATGAACATGAGTTTAAAATGTAAAAAAAAGGTCTGAAAGACTTATTCTTTTTTAAAAGGAGGATAAGATAATTTTTAGATTCTTTTTTGATGTTATTATGTGTTATTTACTACCTTTGGCTTTGGGAAAAGTTTTCTACTTTTGAAGTTCTTGACAAGTCCCAAGTTGAGGAGATTAAGAGGTCATTAAAGAATTCTTCCTTTTAGTTCTCTTCGATGTATCGATCATGCATTCCTAAACCACATAAGTCGGGGGAGATGCGCCCATTAGACAGCCTCATAAGGCATACATCATTGTCATGGATACGGCTTTTGAACATCGTTTTTGAAGACATATTTCTAACGTACTCCCATGGGTTTGTGTTTACTGAGGCAGCCCCATCCTTCGAAATCCCTGCACCACATCACTCTGGAACCCAATTCATAAGTAAGGAACTAGAGAAGGAGAAGTGAACCACTGAATCTGATAGGTCTTTCAGCTTAACTATATCCAGGCCCAAAATGGATTTTCCTACTTTTTTTAGGGTGATAATCCAGTAGGATGGACAAGACAGTGTGAGAAATACTTTGATCTTGCTTGAGTTCCTCAGGGGATGTGGGTATCAATGGCCCCTCTTCATTGTTGTGGTAGAGCTTTTAGCTCGAAACATGCCATAGTTCCTCGCTGGGACAGGAATAAGTCGTCAAGTAGGCATATGAACGGGAAAGGCTTTTTGCACGTTATACATCACTAATAGCCGCCAATAAGATAGCTCATCACGAGAAGTAGTTTCCAGGTTTTTTACAAATAGGCTTGTAAAGTAGCTTGGGTCACGGAAAGGCATTTGTGGTGAGGCGCCTCCAGAATCACATAAAGTATGCTTTCCAGTCCAACTCTTCAGTCCTGCTCAAAGGTTGACCTGTCCGGCGGTCCAGAAGAATCGAAGGTAAGTCAAGGCGATCGAAAGCCTACATATGGTTGAGGAGACGAAGGGAGGATTGGCTTGACAAAAAACCTCCAGGTTCAGTTCGGCAGCCTTGTGGGCTTTGTGGAAATTGAGAAATGAGCTCTGTTTTCAGAATGGGGCATGGCGCACCATGTCTACTTTGATGAGAAGGGTGTTGCTTATGCTGTCGAACTGGAAGATACTATGCCCGGTCAAGCATCTGGAGCGAGCTACGGATGACCAAGTTGGAACAGTTGACAAGAGCTCCGGCAAGAATTTATGGCAGGAGAAGCTGATACCTCAGAATCGTTTTCACCTGGTTGACCTGTAAAATCAGTCGGGTATAATACCTATGTAGAAGGGTTTTCCATTTCTTTCGGTAGGATTCAGGAAAAGAGGTTGGTATACTTTTCAGAACTCTAATGGTTTTTGACCAACCAAAATGGCGAGTTTGGGCTGTAACTGATTGTGACTTTTGATCCTGATGCAATGCAAATGGACCGGGGTGTTATCCCTGGAACTCTAAAAATAAAAGGTTGCTACATTACTTATCTAAGTATCGAAGTATGAAAGGGCAGGCTTCCAGCTATTCAAGTTGCAGGGTAAAGGAAGGCGCGGAGCGAAAAAGGAACTGGCTAAAAAGAAATCCACTAAGCAAGATAGCTTCCATCTAGATAGCATTTTACTGGGCATTTTTACACTTCATTAGGAGGGTGAAGGAAAGTCGGATGAAAGTGATCCTAATGGAAGCGAAAGCACTCATTGTTGCCAATGGAATACCTTCATCCCTTGTATTGAAATATGATTTATTGAATTCGGAGCGCAGCTACGGCCAAGGAAATACCCCGATTTAGTGGACTAGTTAAAATAATTAATTCAAATCGAAGAGGCTCGAAACATTAAACAAGCAAACAAGCAAAGGTTTTTGCGCTTCTTGGCTCGAAACATGCCGTTGTTCCACGCTCTAGCTAGAAAGCCGTTGCGCTTTAGCGCATCCGTTTTCTTGCTCGTATAGCGTTAATAATGTCACGCTCAGCCCTACTTGATTTCACATTACTTAATATCGGTTTCCAACTTTCTTTTTGATTTTTCTAATTATGTGATAATTATTTAAACCAATCCTACTACTTAGCGTCCCCGGGTTTCCACAATTGAAGAAAAAAGCGCAGGGCGTATTGATCAAATCCAATTATTGGACCCGTGCTGGATATCACTTTTCCCCAGGGCAAGTTGCCTTAGATTTCTAATGCTTTGATAATCAAGAGTCGAGAGACTGCCGATGATAAGCAAATTAATGTTACTTGTGAGGTACAACAAAACAATTATTAGGAAATAATAGAGTTAGAGCTGTAGCTATGAGTGCTACAGACGGGTTGATGAGAGGAATGGAAGTGATTGACACGGGAGCTCCTCTCAGTGTTCCAGTCGGTGGAGCTACTCTCGGACGAATTTTTCACGTTCTTGATGAGCCTATTGACAATTTGGGTCCTGTAGATACTAGTGCAACATTCCCTATTCACAGATCCGCCCCTGCCTTTATCGAGTTAGATACGAAATTCTCTATCTTTGAAACTGGTATTAATGTGGTCGATCTTTTAGCTCCTTATTGGCGTGGAGGAAAAATCAGACTATTTGGAGTCTTTTTTTAGGTAAAACAGTACTCATCATGCAATTAATCAATAACATTGCTAAAGCTCACGGAGGCGTATCTGTATTTGGCGGAGTAGGGGAACGGACTCGTGAAGGAAATGATCTTTATATGGAAATGAAGGAATCTGGAGTAATTAATTCCAAAAATATTGAGGAATCAAAGGTAGCTCTAGTATATGGCCAAATGAATGAACCGCCGGGAGCTCGTATGAGAGTTGGTTTAACTGCCCTAACTATGGCGGAATATTTCTGAGATGTTAATAAGCAAGACGTGCTTTTATTCATCGATAATATCCTTCGTTTTGTTCAAGCAGGATCGGAAGTATCTGCCTTATTAGGGAGAATGCCCTCTGCAGTGGGTTATCAACCTACCCTTAGTACAGAAATGGGTTCTTTTCAAGAAAGAATTACTTCTACCAAAACGGGATCTATAACTTCGATCCAAGCAGTTTATGTACCTGCAGACGATTTGACCGACCCTGCTCCTGCCACAACATTTGCACATTTGGACACTACTACCGTACTTTCCAGAGGATTAGCTTCAAAGGGTCCCGCAGTAGATCCTTTAGATTCAACCTCAACTATGTTACAGCCTCGGATCGTTGGCAACGAACATTATGAAACTGTGCAAAGAGTTAAGGAAACTTTACAACGTTACAAAGAACTTCAGGACATTATCGCAATTCTTGGATTGGATGAATTATCGGAGGAGGATCGTTTAACTGTAGCAAGAGCACGAAAAATCGAGCGGTTCTTTTCACAACCGTTCTTTGTTGCAGAAGTTTTTACCGGTTCTCCAGGAAAGTATGTTGGTCTTGCAGAAACAATTAGGGGATTTCAACTAATCCTTTCCGGAGAATTAGACGGCCTACCCGAACAGGCTTTTTATTTAGTGGGGAACATCGATGAAGCTAGCACGAAAGCTATAAACTTAGAAGAGGAGAGCAAATTGAAGAAATGAAATGAAATCTTTATGTACTGACACCTAAACGAATTATTTGGGATTGTGAAGTGAAAAAAATCATTTTATCTACTAATAGTGGCCAAATTGGTGTATTACCAAACCACGCCCCCATTAACACAGCTGTAGATATGGGTCCTTTGAGAATACGCCTCCTCAACGACCAATGGTTAACGACGGTTCTGTGGAGTGGTTTTGCGAGAATAGTTGATAATGAGATCATCATTTTAGGAAATGATGTAGAACTGGGTAGTGACATTGATCCAGAAGAAGCTCAACAGGCACTTGAAATAGTCGAAGCTAACTTGAGTAAAGCTGAGGGTACGAAAGAATTGGTTTGTTTGAGACAAAGAAAGATCAAGGCAGCATATCAGTTTTTCCTATATACTTTACTTGGATCCATTTTTATGCTATTAGCTATTCTGTTGATTCTTCTCCAAACAGGAACCACCGATTTACAAATTTTATTAACCACAGAATTTAGTGAGCGGCGCCAAATCCTTCTATGGATTGCATTTTTCGCCTCTTTTGCCGTCAAAGGGCCTATGGTACCAGTTCATATTTGGTTACCCGAAGCCCATGTAGAGACACCTACGGCTGGATCCGTCATCTTGGCAGGAATTCTTTTAAAATTGGGAACCTACGGGTTTTTAAGATTTTCAATACCCATGTTTCCCGAAGCGACACTTTGTTTCACTCCTTTCATTTATACTCTAAGTGCGATTGCTATAATATATACTTCCTTGACCACTTTAAGACAGATCGATCTTAAGAAGATCATTGCCTACTCCTCAGTAGCCCATATGAATTTGGTGACTATTGGTATGTTTAGTTGGGCGGTGGCCGTTAGGTCACCTATTTTGAGTTATGGACACACAAGCAAGGCCAAAACATGTGTGCCGGGCGTGCAACCCATCAACCTACTAGCAATAGGGGAGAAAACTTAGCATGTCGCAACAAAAGCGTCGATTCGAGGCGTCAGCAACGCCGTCTGTTCCTAAAACAAAACCCCTTAGCGCCCTGGGACGGGAGTGGGGGATGGCCCTACGTAGACAGCAGCAGCACCGGCTCTACGAAGTCCAAATCGAATCTTTCGGGTGGCTTTCCCGTGAATAAGAATAGTTGGGCGCGGCGAAGCGAGTGCTTCTAGCTGTTTCGCTTGCTTCTTTCTTATTGTGGCGGCTATTATGGCGTGGCTGAAATGAACGAAAAGCGAGACTTTCAAATCGATTGATAGATGGCCTGATCTGTTCTGATAGATCGAAAGGGAATCTATCAATAATAAGGGTTGACCTCTTTCTATCTATTGATGATACAAGATATCTATCTATTCTGGATCCATCATAAATAAATCGATATGTATCTGATGGAGTCTACATCGTATGTAGAGCGCCCAAGCGCTTTTTTGGCCTGCTCAGTTCTATTATCCATCGGTCCAATGCACTGGCTCATCTCATGGAGGGAAAAAGCAAATGTAGTTAGTTGTCTTGTTGTTGTTCGCCGCCTCGACACATTCCCCGGTGTGGGGGTACGGCCCCCGGTATCCACAAGACAAGACATGGGCCGCACCATCAGAGGTGGCCCAGCTCACAAAATCAAGGCGTGCATGGCGCTGCTCGGCGTGTACCGTAAGATATTGTATAGTACCAAATAGGCTACTTTCCTTGTAACCCTACCCCTCCAGAGTATATAAGGAGAGGCAGGGGTCCCCTAGTGGACACGATCCATACATCTCAATGCAATACAGCAGAACACAGGATGTAGGTATTACGTCATACTGACGGCCGAACCTGTCTAAATCTTGTGTCTTGGTGCTTGTATTACCATCTCGCTCCTGATCTCGCTCACCTCTACGACAAATCTACCATCGTGGGATACCCCTCGGTGGACTGTCGAGCATCTTTTGTCGATAGTTGGCGCGCCAGGTAGGGATGTGTGCTTGATCCATGGTAGGCCAGATGGGATCTCAAAATCGACGCCGCTTGTGGCAACCTGACTTCCTATGGCGGCGAACTTCAGTAGCCTGACAGGCTCGATATCACTCGACGACGGAATCAATCTACTACGGTGGCAACCCGCGGCTTGACCGATCAAATCCTAGCTCTCCTGGATTGTTTCCGAAGCCAACACCGAACCATGAGATCGACAAAAGAAAAGGAAGGTCCCCGTGACTAACCGCTTCAACAAGCATCGGTTTTGGATTTGATCCAATCTTGCAACAACGACGACCACGTGCATCTACAGCACCATGCATATGAGCGTGCGGCAAGGGGCCTGGGCAATCACCGACGGAGGCAATAAGCATCGGCCATGCAAATTTACTTGCATGTGCTCATGTATGTGTGTATACATGCACAGAACTGCCCCTACGACTACGACCAGATTCAAAAGATCCGATCAAGACTATGCGTCGACTCCATGCAGAAGACGAAAAGCATCACCGACTCGAGTTGAAGCCATATCCTGACACGAATGAAGTTGTTGGCAGCGGCCGGCGGCACACGGCCATGACTCCAAATCAACTGCACGTCTTCGTCCGCGAACTGACACCGCCAAGCTCCGACTACGTCCGTTCTACTCCAACACTAGATCAACTCTGTTCCAGCTGACAAGCGAGCTGCCCGCGTTGTCGACCAGATAACGTCATACGTCGCCAACTAGACTTTCTGTCTAAAGCTAAGTCACGTTTTAACATTCTTCTAAATATTCTCCAATCTCCGTATATCGCCATAATGTTTCTCTGAGCTGTTTTCTCCATGTTTGCTCTCCAAACAATTTTCCGAACCCCCGAACAGTCATGTTGATGCTCGGATGTCCCCAGAGACAGGCCCTGTCTCCGGCTCCTCCCTACACGTGCACGAGCGTCTGCCCTCTGTGTTATGGGTGGTCGGTAGCGGCTCCTTAGCGACGCTTTGTTCTTCCTACACATGCACAGGCTCCGCGCCCCGCGTTATGGTTAACGGTCTAGCTAGGGCTATACACACTAACTGTTCGGGTGGTTTGTATTAAATTTAAATACATCTTCACACCAACTGATCGTCGAGCTGCATACGCTATTTCATCGCCATTGCTGATTTTTCTCCGGAGTTCATAAATTTTTCCATCATGTACTACCCGGTTCTACATGTTTGTATTGCAGGATCATCATCCAGGTTCATCGGACTGTTCGCCGGTTGCTTCTACTCAATGCTCACTTTGCCGTGGACCAGTTGACCAGACTGTTCGTCAGTCGTGCTTCATCGCCAGCTACGCCGATTACTCCTCGGCGCTCGGATTCTTCGTGCTCAAGGACTAAGTGGGAACACTTCACCGCATGGACGTCGCCAGCTACGCCGGTGCTCGGACCTTGCCAGCTTCGCCGGGGACTCCTCGGTGCTCGGACATCGCCACCTATGCCGGGGACTCCTCGATGCTCGGACATCGCTAGCTACGCTGAGGACTCCTCGGTGCTCGGACATTGCCAGCCACACCGGGGACTCCTCGGTGCTCGGACATCGCCAGCGACGCAGGGGACTCCTTGCTCCTCGGTGCTCGGACATCACCGCCTACACCAGGAACTCCTCGGTGCTCGGACATCCCCAGCTACGCCGGGGACTCCTCGGTGCTCGGACATCGCCGCCTATGTCGGGGACTCCTCGCTGCTCGGACATCGCTAGCTACGCCGAGGACTCCTCGCTGCTCGAACATCTCCAGCTGCGCCGAGGACTCCTCAGTGCTCGGACATCGCCAGCGACGCCAGGGACTCCTCGCTCTTTGATGCTCGGACATCACCGCCTATGCCGGGGACTCCTCGTTGCTCGGACATCGCTAGCTACGCCGGGGACTCCTCGCTCTTCGGTGCTCGGACATCGCCAGTGACGCCGGGGACTCCTCAGTGCTCGGACATCGCCAACGACGCCGAGGACTCCTCGCTCCTCGGTACTCGAACATCGCCAGCGGCGCCGGGGACTCCTCGCTCTTCGGTGGTCGGACATCACCAGGGACTCCTCGATGTTCAGACATCGCCAGCAACACCAGAGACTCTCGCTCTTCGGTGCTCGGACATCGCCAGCAACACCGGGGACTCCTTGGTGCTCCCTTGCTGCTCGGATCTTGCTACGTCTCATCGGTGTGCTATCAAGCTGCTCCATGCTGTTCGGATCAGGGTGCTGATCTTGGGCAACAAGTCTGGGGTCTTGATACACGCATGTCAGACGACGTCGGCAAGCTTTTAGACTTCTTTTTCTTTAACCCTGCTACAAGATTTATTCTTCATCTTCCAGCAGGCTCGGGGACTAAGTGGGCACACTTCACCTTGCGGTGAATGTGCGTGTTTTCTCATCTCAAGGCTACGCCCGAGGACTGGCTGCCTGCTCGGCTGGTCTTCTACTTTTTGACCATGGCACCACGTGACTACGTCACCTACTGTTAGGCTCGGGGACTAGCTGTGGGTGTACGGCCCCCGGTATCCACAAGACAAGACATGGGCCGCACCATCAGAGGTGGCCCAGCTCACGAGATCAAGGCGTGCACGGTGCTGCTCGGCGTGTACCGCAAGATATTGTATAGTACCAAATAGGCTACTTTTCTTGTAACCCTACCCCTCCAGAGTATATAAGGAGAGGCAGGGGTCCCCTAGTGGACACGATCCATACATCTCAATGCAATACATCAAAACACAGGATGTAGGTATTACGTCATACTGACGGTCGAACCTATCTAAATCTTATGTCTTGGTGCTTGTATTACCATCTCTCTCTTGATCTTGCTCACCTCTACGACAAATCTACCATCGTGGGATACCCCTCGGTGGACTGCCGAGCATCTTTTGTCGACACCCGGCATCGTCCCACATAGAAAGAAAGAGCGTGGAGCCCTGGCCCGACCTGTAAGTCCGCTAACGTAAAGCGAGGAGTTGAGCCTGAATTGGCGAACCGAAGTCACTTTCGTAACCATACTTCCTATAGCTAACATGTATCCGATCCAGTGAAGGCAGCAGTATAAAACGAACGTAAGTTGCTATATGAATCCCCCGCAGCCATCGGGGACCTAGTGGTAAGGCCATGATCCGTATGGGAAGGGATCACTCATTCTTCTATTGGGAGACAGGTGCACGAACGACAACTCCAAACGTTAGACATTCACCGCCTATACCTACCGTTTAGGTGGCACCGGTGAGATCCAGCTAAGGTAAGGAACTTCGTGTCGCATGGCTGCTCCACTCATTGTGGTCTTTTGAACTGAACCGTTGCCTTCCCACCTTGTGAAAACGAATGGGCGCCGTGTGTCGTGGGTCGATTTAGGGGGGAGAGAGAGAGAGAGACCAGAAGAATGATTCATTTGGATCGACGAGCCATTTCGTGAATCAATAGAATGTCTCTCTATCCATATCTATTCTATCTTTATATGATGGGCCATAAAAAAAGAAGTATTTTTTATGGCATGTGAGATGATCGCGCCTAGTAGCCACATATCAGCTGCGCTCAATATGCGGGATTTCCGTTGGATCAGATCTTTTGCTTTGACGAATTTGGACCTAGCGAAAAAGACTCTAACCCTTTGGCGCAAACAAGCAAAGTAGAAGCAAGGCGAGGAAGCGGAGGCTGTCGAGAAGCGATAGCTTCCCCGACAATATACAATACAACGATGGCGACCATGAATAAAAAACCCTAGTTTATAACGAGTTCGTAGCTTTTCCGGGCGGAGAACTACTTAAAAGTTTGATTGATCGCCTTTCTTTGATATGTGTTCAATTTAGTACAATACAAACTACAACTAGATCAAAGCAGAAGGGACACTCACTATAGAAGCTATAACTAGCCTAGCCCTAGCCAATAGTATAGAGTTTAGTAGTCGGCCAAACCCCCATGCTCACGACATGTTCTTGATATTGATTGAGTTGGAGGGAGCCAGAGACTACCACAGAATCCTTCCATAGTCACCTCGGTGACCTTCGTCACCAAAGCATCACGACAGTTTCAAAGACCCCTCATATAATCTCTAGTGGGGATCAGTCGGAGCACGTAGGACTGCCGACCACTACATAAGCCGAGCACAAGTGGCAGAGAAAGCTCAAGAGCTTCCTTCATTTCGCTTCATGGAGTCGCATACACAACACATATTTGGAAGTCGAGGGCCCATACTACTGCCTAACCCTTCGGTCCGAGGGACCATAGAACGGAAAGCGCCTTCTAAACAACTCGGCAGAAGGGAAGGGGCCTATGTATTTGCATGACCCCTACAGATTTGACCCTACCTACACCCGGAGCCAATCCCCTAGCGGTCCTGCCACCACGCCGCAGAACAGGAGCTCGTGTGGAACCTTGGATTTCTGGCGTAATAGCGGTGGAAGGTATAAAAATATTACGGCCACATAACATAGGGGCCTACGCTAAGGTCGGTCAAAATATGGACACCCGAAGGGCCTGGCGCGCACAATCCTATCCTCGTACCGCTACTGTTTCTTTGCTTCCTTGGCCCATATTTTGAGAAGTAAGTCATTGGTGGAAAAGAATTGCTAGGATTTTGGGCATATTGTAGCGATGAGGACGACTAGGATTTGGCTTCTCTTTATATTATATGAAAACTTTTTTCGCTTCCCAACCTGTTGAAACTGAAATGTTATAATTCGGCTAGATGAGATAAGATCGTATTTACTGTTTGAAGCAGAAAACTTATATAGAAAATCCATAGTGATATACCAATTCCTTCCCGCGGCCTTGCCCATTGGTATTTTAAAGTCGATCGTGCCAACAGAGAAAGTTTGACTCTCTAAACTTCTTTAAATACTTTGATATGAAAGCTTATCCAAATTGCAAACAATTCCTTCTCCCCTGCAGGCAGGGCTTTCGCCGAACACTAGTCAACTAGGGATCCATAAGCTAGTCAAGTAATATTTAAAGCGGAAGCATAAGAATTTTAAGCGGGATTCTATCTTCGAAAGTAGAAACAATGAGAAACGAAGTGGGATTCTATCTTCGAAAGTAGAAACAATGAGAAACGAGATTTTGGTACAAGATATCGCCATGCTCATGCTACTCAATATCTTGGTGCAGTAAGAAAGAAGATTGTTTCTCTTTGTCTACCATTAAATCTGAATATATAGCATGCACGGCTGCAGTTCAAGAAGTAATATGGCTGAGAAATTCTCTTCTCTGTCTTGATGTGACTAAGCATGCATATGAGACAACCGTGATCTACTGTGATAACACTGTTTATACCAGAATTTGGAAGAAAGGATTTCAGAAGCTCGAGAGCTCCCAAAATCATGTCAGCAAGGGATCACTTGCGTATAGATCGAAAACAACTGATTCGGATGTAGCACTTGAATCGGCTTTCTTCAGATAGCGCCAGCAGATAACGACAGAGGCTATGATCGACGCTAGGACGAGACATGTTGGACTCTACAAAAGGGAAAGATTAGAGTCCAAGTTATCTTAAATTAGGAATGTTTTCGTTTTATGCCAAAGATTGTA